GACAGATATGTTGACAATTTAATACAACATATTTGAAGCTCAGCTCCTCTATTTGCCTGCCAAGATCCAACTTTACAGTTTTGTGTCTCCCTTGTGAGAGATAAAGATATCGCAATTGCGTAACAAGACAGGAGTTCAGAAAAGGACTTAGGGGTTTGTACTGCTAATTCTAACAGAGGACACACAGAACCCCAGACTCCATTCTTGGCAGGTAAGAAAAGATGGTAATGAGTTAAACATTTCATTTTTTCCCATTTTGTTCTTTATTATGCTTCATTATAACCTTCACGTACATAACCATAAAAATGTTTAGGAGTTCCAGCAGGGATTTGACAATGGTTCTTTCAGCATAATATACATCTATCTGTAAATTACATATTGTATACTAAAAATGAATGGAAATTTGTATAGATACATTCAGCTATCCTAAGCATGCAGTAGGTTGGTGCGCTCTAGAGAGATGCCACATATTTATAGGTGCATATACAGAAATCTAGTTAGATTTTAGCTATCTAGTCTGTTGAGCCTATATCCCATGTATTGATAAGGAGAGTGCTCGGCTGAGTGTTTACAGGCCTCTAAAACGTCCCTCATTTCAGGCTCAAAGTAGTCTATATTCCACACCAATTTGGTGGAACTGATCCCACATCACTTTCTGTTCCCTGCATGAAACATTTCTCTGTGTCCCTTATTTTGGGTTTTGGCCACACAATATAGCCTGTATTTGGGTGTTGGCCGATTGACAGGTATAGCAGGCGAAGGTTTGAATAATGTCTCCCTTTGCTTATGATCTGATCAGTTCATAGAGGCTACAAGATCCAAAATCGCTCTACATGTATTCTGTCTCATAGCTAATCTATGGATTTTTCCACTGTTGAAGTTTCCATCACTGATTCCACATAGGAGGATCTAATCCTTTTTACCATTGGTGGAAGATGAAGGGCCTGATCCAAAGTCCAATGAAGTCAGTGAAAAGCCTTCTATTGACTTCAGTCACCTTTGGATCAGGTGCTAAACATGAGACTCCCATCACGTCACTTTCTCCATTTTCTGAAAGATGTTAGGTCAGGGCTATCTAGAGTCAAAAAGGCATAGATAGGTTGGGTTACATACATTGCTATCTTCCACCTTAGAAAGATTTCAGTTTCTGGAAAATGTCTTGAAAGCTTCTGGCTACATGAGGACAGACATATAGCTTACATTTGTATCCTCTGTTACCTTTCTGACCACATCAATGGTAATCTGTAATATTACCTTCCAAAAAGTAACTTGACATTAATTAAACCTACCCATGAATTTTGCTTTTGTTAAAAGATAGTGTTTAGTCCACCTTTAAATGGCCTCTCTTTAACCTTCAATAAACATGGCACCTGTTTCCTTCAATGTATGCACCTAACCATTTCCAAAAGTGGAAATTATCAAGCTAAAATTAAAAAACAAATCATATTGAAAAGGAATTTAAAAAAAAAAAAAAGAATGGTTCTAATGATAGGCTATAGAAGTCAACCCTAATGAAGAGATTCAGGGGAAGAATACCGGAAGTATTTTTAAAAACCCTGTTTGCAATAGTCTAATCACGATAATGCAATTCATTTAAGTCTGCATCAGCTTTATCTGCCGAGATGCACAACTTTGATGAAAATTAATTAGCTCTCACATACAGATGGCTCTCTTAATAGAATTTATGAAGACTGAGCCAAATATGTCCCCCTTCTCAATGGAATAAGGTGCACTTTCCACTTTACATAAACAGAGAAATCATCAGTTGATTTTTCTCATTTCTTGGAGGAAAGGGTAGGGGGAGAAAAGAGAGAAGCTCTATTCTGTAGAGATGTAGATCTTACTTTTACCGGGCACTAAACATTTTGCTCCAGGAATAATTTCATTGCAAGTAATATCAATATTACCTTTTCTACAAAGTGACATTTTACACTGGAAATAAATGTAAATCATAACCTTACTCTGTTGATATGACATCATCGAGATTTTAAGTCCAATCATCTAGTTTAGCTGGCTTGACAAAGATTCTCCTTACAAAGATTACAGCCAAGCTCAAATCATTCATGATGCACCTTGCATGGATCAATACTTCTGGGCAGTGCACTATATGATGGGGATCATGTGATAAATATGAGCACAGAAACAAGACAGTATAAATGCCACAGCAAATTTAAAAAAGAGTGGCACAGAAGCTGACACAGAGAGTGAAATATTTGACTTGGCCAACTCCTCACGGACAAGCTAATCCGTTTCTAATACACAATTCTTGGAGAATGCACATCATTTTAAAACCATGAGGACATGTTACTTAATCCAATCCAAAAATTGCAGAACAAAAGCAGCTCAGTCTGACCTGCGAGTCATGTGAATATGAATTTAGATCTAGCGTAGGCCTAGTTTTAAAATCATTATAACAAATTCTTCTTTAACTGGTATAGCCTTGTGCAATGTTATCTTTCTCAGGTGCAGTTTCAGTTACAGCTAATAGAGGACTACCTGTTACAACATTTACATATACATATGTTATATATTCACATGTAAGAAATACTACTGACTGCCTGTACTCATAATTGCTTAAGGATGTGACCTTGTCAGATTTCATACACTGAACAGAGTCAGCTATGATCAGTATTTGAATGGGAGAAAAGCAAAACTCAGGATGCTACAGGAAGTGGTATTCAGTAGGTGGCACACTTTGCCATAAATCAGTACTGAATCAATGCTTCAGCATTGTACTAAGGGACAGCAATATGCTCTTGCAGGTCTTTCAGATAAGATATAAAGTTAAAAGGCCTTAACCATTTATGGTAATTCACTGGGGTATTAGCCCCAGTATCCTGACCACAGTTCCAATTCAACAACTAAATTCAGCCGACCTAAATTTCCTCTGAATGCATCCGATGAAGTGAGCTGTAGCTCACGAAAGCTTATGCTCAAATAAATTTGTTAGTCTCTAAGGTGCCACAAGTACTCCTTTTCTTTTTGTAAATTTCCTCCTGCAATCTTAAATAACTATGATTATCTCCACATCTTGTCTTAAATTATTGCGTAGCATTTCTGTGCAATGTTAAACAGTTACTGCACACGACCCCAGACAGAGTTGCACTTTCCACTGAAGTGGACTAGCAGGGATCCCTATACTTCTTAGATATGAAAGACTACACATCAGGTGTAGTTTTTATTAATGTTAATGTGTACTATAAGGTGTGTGTTGTACACTCCTTAATGAAATTGACCTGCATAGACACTGTAAATAATACAAACTCAGGTTCCCACGTAATTCAAGTTCCCAATAGTCAAACCTTTGACTGGTATTTTTTTGTGTTTAAAGAATCTAATAAAACTTGAAACCATAGTGAATTCTGCAGAATTCAGCAAGGTGGCTAAAAGACATGAAAAGTGTAGACTCTCTCAGATTAAACAAGCATATGCCAGAAATCTCTGAAGGCTATAGGCATTTACTCTCTCTCTCTCTCTCTCATTCAATGTCTTATGAACAAGACATCAGTTACTATCCACAATTTAAAGGAAATCCCAGTTCATGAGTCAAATGTGTAAACACTTTGATTTGAGCTACACAATCTGGATTTACACCAGTAAGTTATTCATACTAAAAATGTATCAATTTTCTATGCTCAGAAAGTGAACAAAATAAAAAGCCAATAAGTATTTGTGAAGCTTCAGGTGGCTCTAAAATAAGCAGTAAGTGGATGACATTCATATCAAAGAAAGCACAGAGCTTTCCTGGGTTTCAGCATTAGCTAATTAATTTATTTCAAACTTTGTGACTAATGGCTGCAAGAGAAATTGGCAGCCAGTTGGAAATTTTGGTCAGCATTAACATCATTGTAACTTCCTCATTACCTTCTTCCAGGATTATTTTTCTTCTACACAATATTTCACAATCCATTGCAAACTCTTCCAGCCTTTAGCAGTTCCTGATGCAGCTCTAGATTGTACTAACTCAGCAATATAAAGCTGCTCTGTTTTTTAAAAACTTTTGTTACATGGAAACAGACTATGCAGTTTTTGCATGGGAATATTTGCTCTGGAGCACACACAGCAGTGATCAGCATTTAAATTAACAGTTTCAAATTGACTAGTTAGTATTGCCATTCTACAGAGGTCATTCCTGTACAGTGATTTTTCAGCAGCTACATATACAAGTTACATAATTGCAAGGGATATTTGGGGAGAACAGTAACACAGTACCCACCTAAACCACCTGCTTAAACTTGCCCACAGCAGCAGTATGCAAAGCACCAAAAGAAGAAAAGTAATCAAGGTGTTACACAGAGTATACAGAAAATGTTCCTAACCACTAGAAAGAGTTATCAAGATGGGAAAAAATACCAAGGGACTTTAGAATCAATGGGGTTTTCCTCCTTTACCCATTTGTAGCTGTCTGATGCAAGAGAAATAAGATTGTGAGCTACCTTACTACACCCCCCTCCACAGATCACAGACTCAGTCCTGTCATTGGACTTGAGAAAGACAAGACTGGGTGCACACACACACACACACACACACTCTCCACAAGTCATCAGCTCTCTTCGAGCTTTGTCCTAGGTGGTTAACTTCAGGGCTGGGAAGGAAGAGGACGTTTGCCCTGAAGAGACAAAATGATGAATGAATGGTGGAGCCAGATACCAAAGTAGCCTCGAGAAGCATTTCTGTTGCAAAGCCAATGAGCGAGCATACAGGTCATCAGCTCCTGGTCTAGCTAAACCCAGGAGAACCTATAGGACTTTGCATTCCATTGTAAATATTTTCCACAATGGGGTGCTTCCACCCCTCTACTGCCCCTATATCTAAGTAACTTACTAACAGCTGGAAAGAATTTCAGGGCAGGAAAAGAAAAATCATGGCTTTCCTGTGGCCTGAAAGTATGTAGCACATTTAAAAATGCATATAGCTGACAGCTGCCTGGAACACGAGAGGCCAGAAAAAGCTGGCCTAACCTTAGACACGCAAACACAAAAGGGTAACTGGTCACTTACTTTTCATATTCGGTGTTGTCTCTATCGCAACGCGAATCCTTGTGCTTTTGCCAGTCTTTGCCATGCTTGCAGGTGGTCAAGAGGACAACATCCTCCCCGTTATGGACGTGATATAAGGCATTCCTGGTGTCTGACCCTATCCCTGTCAGGTACCTTTTCCCCTTGAATACCAACATGTACTTCCTGAGAGGAGGGATGGTGTTAAACCTTAGAAATCCCTTCTCCCCTCCTGTCCTAGGATGATCCTTAGAAAAGAGCGGAATAGAAACATCGAAATTCGGTCTGAAGTTTTCAGTACTGATGCTAGCTTTAGCCAGCATCGCCTGGCCAATATCAAACCCGACGTCTTCAGTGTAATCGGGCCAGGTGCCGGAATATAAATTAAAAATTAAATGATTTCTACCATTGTTCCACAAGTGGAGGCTTTGCACTTTCGATCGCAGGTTGTGCACGTACTGGGGTGACAACTGGTCTCTGTCTAAGGTATCCAAGCTCAGGACAAACAGGCAAGCTTGGCTCGGATCGGAAGTGTAAAACCTGGATCCCTCGATGGCTGCTAGAATGTTTTGGTAACTTTCGGCGATTTTCTCCCCTTTCTGCTGCGGGTACACGTAGACTTTGAAGCCGTTTTTCTTGCAAAGGGTGAAATCGAAGCAGGACTCCATGCGGCACTTCTTGCCTTTGTAGACGCTGGAGTTGGCGTCTCTCTTCTGCCTAGGGGAAATGTGCACATTGTAATCCTCGTTTTCCAACTGATCCCAAGGAATGAAGGGGCGCAAAGCGTCCGGGAATCGGGGCCAATAATGATCCGGGCTGGTGTGGTGCAAGCCATTCCTGCTACTGTGCTCCTCTCTCCTGCTTTGGTTTCTCGCTGCCCTGAACTGCAAGCCTCCGAAGTAAAACAAAAGGACGAGACAAGTGCCAGCTGAGAGCAGGATGAAATAGCGTTTTTTGGCCTGCATGTGTCCTATCTGGGTCAAGATGATTGTAAATAAACACAAGGATCACCCAAGTTTGCCAATCAACACTTTCAGCTCCAGTCCGCCATCTTCCCGCCTGCAAAGACTTCAAACTCTCTTCTACCACCTTCTCTTTATTCCTTTCCCAAAGCCTTGGACTGATGCAGCGCATGTGGGCGATTTCTTTAACTTTCTCCCCTTCTGTCTTTCATCTTTGGGTCGCACAATAGAGAGAGAGAGAGAGAGAAACAGCGAAGGCGAATAATTCACGCCCAGCACGAGTTTGCAGGGCAAAGGGCTGGGAATTCTCTTGCATGCACACACATACAAACACAAATGAACTAAGCACCAAACCCAGTTCCCTTCACCTCTCAATCAGTTGCAAGACTGAGTGTTTCCCCTCCCCCAACTCTCTCTCTCTCTCTCTCTCTCTCTAAGCGTTGCAAACGATCAAGGTACAGCAGCAACTTCAACTCATCCAAAACACTCCCGCAATAACCAAGCCCCCCGGTTCCAGAGCAAGTCAGCAGCAGCAGCTCACAGCCAGCGCCGGTTCACACAGCTATCATGATCACATCTTCCAGCTTGAGCGCCGTAACCTTACAAATCCCTGCATTTCTCTTTATTCTTTTCTGCAGAGGAGCTCCTAGACTCGGGTGCTGTTTACCCCTCTCTCCGCGATCTCTGTGAATGGCCCCCGGGATGGAACCAGCCGAAGCAGCGAAGATCCTCCTCCTTCTTCCTCCTCCTCTTTGCCCCCGCCCCCCAGTCAGTCAATGAGGTGCGAGCTGCCGAAGCACAGAGGAGGCTGCCTGCCCCTGTTCGAACGTCGCCGATCGCAGAGTTCGATCTCCGAACGTTACCCGGTTCTGAATGTTACACTTACACATTCCATTCCCCGACACCACAGCGCTGACCTCATCCATCCACGCAGCCCGCTCCCCCATTGGCTGAGCGTCACGTCCGGGGTGGGCGGTGCTTCCGCTGCACCCATTCATAACCCCCCAGCCGGAGGGTACAGTGTTGCAGTAGTATGTTAAATGGAAACGCTTCAGGCACGGGGTTTGTGAGAGCGTTGCTGGGGTGCCCCTCAGGAAGATGCCTATTTAAGAGATCGCCCACAAACTAGGGCAGCTTGCAGGCATCTTTGGGGCACAGTCACCCCTCCTGCCCTTTCCCTGGCACAGCACTGATGAGCGATCGTCTAGGGGGGACTCTCTAGGCTTATGTTAAGCAGCTTCCTCGGGTGGGAGACTGAAATCTGAATGCAACAACATACAAGTACTTGTCAGTCTCCCCACCCCCAAGTACAGGCAGTAACAGGACTGGCTCCCGCCCACAGGCCAGAGAGGCAGTTGTCTAGGACGGCAGTCACAGGTGCTGGAACTAAGGGTGCTGCTGCACCCCCTGGCTTGAAGTGGTTCCCATCATATACAAGGTTTACAGTTTTGCTCTCAGCAGCCCTACTATACACATTGTTCCAGCACCCCTGGCGGCAATGTTCAATGTTTAGTGATTGTTTTGGTGGGAGTGTCTGTTGAGGGACAGAGGCTTTCTAGTTTGCCCACGGCTAGGAGCTGAGCCAAGGGAGGGCATATCTGAAACAATGCATGACAGTGTTAAGGGCGAGCCACCTTTGCAGGAGAAATCCTCAAGGCTATGTCTGTTGAGCAGCACAGGAGGGATCTTATCAGCAACAGCTGGCTCAAGATCCTCTCTGGCAGGCTCATTAAACCCAGGAAGAGAGCGCGCCTACCCTTTCATCTTTTAACAGCCCCTCACAAATCCATGCTAACTGCAAGCCAGTAATGCAGGAGCTGAGCCAAACACATACAAGAGAAAGTTCTCCCTGAGTAGTTTGCTGAGGAAATGCAACAGAGAGGACCTATTGCTAGAGGGAAAGGGAGCAGAGGTCTGGGGAGCGCTGGCGCCAAGGGGAGGAAGAGAGTTGCTCAGCTTAATCTGGAATCAGGATTTCAACTGGAAAACTAGGGAAAGGGAGAATATCTTTCTCCTTTCACATGGGCTGGTTTACATGTCTCTACTACTGTCCTCTACTGGATGGAATACTGTATTACCTCACAGGTATCTCTTGCCTCTGGTTGTAGTGTTTATTTCTACCGCTAAAATAGAAAGAGCTCCTGCACTTTGAATCTCAAAACCATGAACTATAATTCCATCTGGTAAAAATATGATGTTATCTATTGATCTTAATGCATTTAAGATGTGTTCTTGTAATTAAAGCGGGGGATTGTCAGTCAGCATGGCTGGGATCCTGTTCTCTGTGTAGCCTCAGGCAACTCATATGACGGATTTACGCCTTGCACGCCCCTAGGTACAGCATCTTCAGCGCTTCTTCCCCCCCTCCCCCCCGCCGCCTACAGCTGACCTTCGTGTTTTCCATAGAAAATGAAACTTTTAACTCGTTTTTAACTTTTAGGTGCCCTTAGAACGCCAGGGCCCCTAGGCACATGCCTACTGTGCCTAATTGGAAATATGGCCCTTGCCCTCCCTGTGCCTCAGTTTCCCCATTTTCAAATTATGCATAACCTGTTTACCTCACAGGGATTATTACTACAAAATGCATGTATGTAGTGTACAGGACACTTTACAGGCAAAGATAACGCCACTTGTCCTGAAGCACCTATCTTAATTTTTATATAAAGTTTTGAAATTTCCAGATGAAACATACCAAGTGCAAAATATTGTTATATTTCTCAGTGACTCTCAGACATAACTGGCAAATATTTAAGAAGAAGAATCTCATTAGACACCTACATAAAAATCTGGCCTTAAGCAACTTTCCTACGGATTCACTGGTATAACTAGGAGCCCAATTTATTGATCAGAATGGTGTGCTTTACACCTACTTTGCACTGGTATAAGGGACTACACAAGTGCAGGGCCATGGTGAATCAGGCCCCAGGAATGCAATCAAGAGTCCTGATTTCCACCCCCTTTCTGTAACTTAGGGCTTAGTCTACACTGGCAACGCTAAAGCACTTTAACCTGGGCTCTTTTCCCCTCCCTCATCCTCACTGAGGGCTTGTCTACACTGGCACTTTACACCACTGCAACTTTCTCGCTCAGGGGTGTGAAAAAAACACCCCCCCTGGGAGATGCTGGGAGCCACACTCCCAGCACTGGTAGCTACTCCCCTCGTGGAGGGGGGTTTTATAGCGCTGGGGGAGTGCTTTAATGTTGCTAGTGAAGACATGCCCTGAGCTCCTTGAGTCTGCCATTCATGCTTCTAGAGGTACCTCAACAATCCAGATCTGAGACTGTAATGAAACACATACCCCAGCAAGCATTGCATGGCTTGAGTTTCACTGGGAATACACTGCACAGCATTCACTGCTCCCTCCCTCCCACAGATGCAATATAGTCCGTGAGAGGCCCATAGCTGAGAAGAAAAGGGAAATTTAAAACAAAGTGTGCATTCACAAAGATGAAAGATCCTGCCACTACTAAAGAGGACAGTTGAGGGCCTGCCAGACCTATGATCATGAAGAGCTCATCAGTGACAGTCAAGCTGATTTGGGCAGGAAGCTGATCTGAGGACTCTACTGCCTACAGTCTGAGCCAAAAGAAGATGATTCCTTTCCAAAATCAATTAGATTTGGGGGAGGGCTGCTAAAGGAAAAGGGACAGGGTCCAATGTAGAAGCTAAGTGCTGCAACTCTACTGAAGAAAGGATTTAGAATAGTAAGAGAGAAAGGATCCCACAGGAAAAGGAAGTAGCATTTGTGACCAGCATAAATAGAGGTGGGGCTGGAAGTTAGAATTTGGTTGAGCACCTGATAACACAGGAGTAAGAATAGAATAGATAATAAATCCAATAGTAGAATAGATAGTAAACCCTCCAATCACCCCCTGAAAAGAGGTCAGCTGCTTAGAAAGATGAACCAAGGCTGAGGATAGCAGCTCCTTCTGTCAAGAATATGAAGAATCCCATTATTATCTGCAAATTAAGTCTCCAGTGACCAATTTAAGACAGAAAGGGAAGCCAAGTGCCCATGAGTCTTGCCATTTGTGCCAAGGACAGTAGCTGTTAAAACTAAGTTTTGAGGATCTGGTACTAGTGAGTCCAAGAAAGAAATTCTGCTCATGACAGATAATAATTGAGAGGAAAGGGACATGATCGGACCTGAAACAAAACTGCATTGCATTTGAAGTTCTGAGGCTATCACAAGGATCACAGTACCAATAAACGATGAAGCCTAGAGAGGATTAGCCCTAGGCAAAGATAATTGCAACATCACTTTGAAACCTGTTCTAATTACCCTAAATATCACTGCAACTGACCCTTACAGTTATTGCTTATTATTTGTACTGTGATAGCCCCCAAAAATCCCAGTCAGATCTGGGATCCATTGTACTAGGGACAGTAGGAAGACATGTCTGTGCCCCTCAGATATTGCTAAGACATTGCTATCATTCACATTTTGAAGGAAATCTTTGTAAGTCAGACAACACCTCCAGTTCATTGCTACTTTCTGAAGCAGCACCAGAATGAAATTAATGAGACTCTAGTCAACTTCATAATTAATATTCAGAACCCTGTGGGCAACGGTGAAACTGACAAGAATCATGTAAAGTTCACTCAGCTGCTTCATGGGAACCACCTGCAGCCTATGCAGAGGAACCTGGTAATGGAAACTTAATAGTAGTAAAGTAGTAGTTATGCTTGCCACTAGCAGCAGGTAGGAAGCTTAGGAAGGACAGAGTAGCCGACTTCCACCACCACATAGGACACACTGCATACACACAGCGAGAAAGCCAGGAAGGGAGTAGGATCTTAAAATGCTAGATTCCTATCTGCCAGAGACTGATGAGTGAAAGACAGAACCCCCAGCAGACTTTGAATACTGTTTGTTAATAAGAATCTGCCAGCTTGAGGGTGAGCCTTTGAAGCTGGTCCTCACTGACTGGACTGTTTCAAATCTTTTACATCTTCATCTGGCTGGCAGTTGTCTGGGAAACTTTCCAAGCCCTTAGATAAAAGGACAGATTTTTATTTCCAGCTTTGCCACAGATCACATGTGTGATATGAGGCAAGTCACTTAGGGCCAGATTTTTAAAGGTATTTAGGCACCTAAAGATGCAGTGAGGCATCTCATGGGATTTTAAAAAGTGCCTAGAGCCCACATCCTCAAAAATGTTTAGGCACATAACTTGCATTGATTTCAATGGAATTTAGAAGCCTAAATACCTTTGAAGATCTGGGCCTCAGTGCCCAACTTCCACTGACTTAGACATCTTTAAAAATCTGGTTTTTAGAACCTGATTTTCAGACCTGCTCAGCTCCATTTGTAGTTTATAGGAGCTGTGGATGCTCAGCACTGATGAGAACCAGGACATTAACTTCTCTGGGCCTCAGTGTTCCAATCTGTAAAATGGGAGTGATACTTCCCTACCTAATAGAATATTATCAGATTTGATTTGTACATGTTGTGACGTGTTCTGAGATCCTAAGATGACAGACACCATATAAATGCAAAATGTTGTGTTCAAATTCTTGGAAAGACTGTAAGTGAAGAGCTCACGTGAAGCTAAACATCCCACTTGCCACCTAGTCCTGCCACAGCTTATGCCACAAAAACACAATTACTTGGCTAACTGAAGATGCCAGAAGAATTAGGCTAACATTTTCAAAGTCAGGTACCTAAAGTTCCACTCTTCAATCCATATTTAGGCACCTGAATAAAAGTGACTTGATATTTACTTTGATTTGTGTGTCTTAATCCTGACTGAAGCACAAATCTTGGGCTGAAAATCCTAACTTTTGAGAGCCATGTTAGTGATATTGACTGCCTTGTGATTCTCACCAACTTCTCAGTGAAGTAGCACATATTTCAGGGTTAAACTGTAGTGTAATTTTTGAAGTCCAAGGGAAAAAAATGGAAAAGTCTGACTGACGAAGTCC